ACGATGTTGGTACTGAAAGTGGCCCAAACTACTTCCTACACTGCAGCGAAAATAAGTACGCCCTTGCAATATTACATAACATCAAAATATCGTTTTTACTTATTTTTGTTGTATCATTCATTTTTAAGTTTAAATTCAGATTAATGATAATTTATATCAATTATTAGTGATAAGAGAAGAATAATTTATATATCAATTATTAGTGATAAGAGAAGAAGGAAGAATGATGTATGTTTTTAGCGTGTGGTTTGATCATGCATTCGGCATAGCGTGAGGCAGGGAAAGAGAGTGAAGGAATTTGTTTTAGAATGGTTGATAATTTTGAAAATGATTTTGAATTGAATTGGAACGAATTTTGTTTGCGTCAGATATGTTGTTACTACTGTACCTGGCATACATGTAATAGTTAAATTATATTCGAGTGTGTTTGCATATATGGTGGTTAAATAATGATAAAGACGTTTAAGATTTGTATGGCGAATTAAGCGAGAGTGCTGAAAAAGGTATGAATAGTAATGTGAGAGTATCAATTTCGAAGAGAGAGAGAGAGAGAGAGAGAGAGAGTGAGTGAATTGATAAAAAAGAATACGAACGAAATAACAAGCGTTTTAATTACGGAAATTAATAGTCAAATAATTGTGAATCTAAGAATAAATAGACCGTCAGAATGTGGGGTCATTTTGTAATATAATGGTGTTGAATTGGCTGGATGATATGCTAAGATGTAATGATGTAATAGATAATAGACCTGTTTGTTGAATGAGTGTTGTATACAGATGTTGGAGATGAGATGAGATGGTGGTGACTCTATTGTGATGTTAGGAAGCTTTTCCAAGCCCTTTTAATTTGCTAAGTATACACGATTCTATATATTTTATTGCTGCATACGTGTTCGTTTCCATAGTATGAGTGTATTGTGTGTGCATTAAGTTTCCAAAGACGTTCATTTAACAACATTGTAAGATTACTCTGAATTAAATAATTGATTAGATCAATGCAAATATAGAAGAAAAGAATCTGATATTAATCAAAGGTCTCTATAAAAATAATTTTCATTTTTCGTTTTAAATTTTTGGTGTTGGGTAATCAATCGTTTAGTTCTTTTGCAAATTGACTACTCGTTATTTTTCCTTTTATGTAAATGTGCTCTTATACACACGTCAACAGTTCTATATTTCTATATATATATGCATATATAAGAAAATGCCATTAACCAAGTTTATTTAGCATGCAATAATAGCACGTACATCATAATATGCATACCCAATTTGCGATAAAAAGATCAAAGCAAACAGCATACAGCATATAGTTAGCATAATACACCAGTTTTCCTCAGTGTAAAAATTCGTATTATTCGGCTTTGATGGTTTTTTTTAACTACATTTTCCAATTAGTTTTTCTTCTTGTATTCAATTTATTTTCACATCTACTATATATATATATATACTTCAAATTCAAAAATTCGACAATATCGGCAAAATCATCACTACCCGAAAACGTATAGTATACTAGATATGAATGAATGCCTAATGAATATTGTGATACTCTTTTGTTATGGGTAAGAGCAATATAAAATATCGAAAGCTTATTTTATTATGTATGTTTTTTGTTTGACATGTACATATAAAGACTTTTTTCTTTGATACCTATATACAGTATACATTCTAAATTAATAATCAATCAGTTGTTTGAATTACATTTATTTTGCAATATAAACTGTTCTACACTAAAGCAGGTCAGATTGTGTTCGTAATTCATTTGTAATTAATATTTTGTTATATATTTTCATGATTGAAAAGTTCTTGACTTCTAACCTTTTTTCGCCTTCATCCGCCCACACCCCCCCTACTACGATCATCTTTGTGATTTTCGCAAATATAAAATTTCGAATTTCGATTTTTGATTTCCCCAACTGTTTAATGCATTAAACTTTACTTCAAGGGTGAGGTTTTCCCCCATTGTTTCAAATAAAATAAAAATTACTTGGTATTTACGCAAAGTACCACAACTAAACCTCACCCGCCAAATATATTAAAAGAGAGATATAATTTTTGCTTTAAACTACGTTTGGATGCTGGAAACCTTTGGAACTGAATTTGAATTGCGTTTGAAACAAACACCAAAGAAGGATTGCATGGTGGAGGCAACAATTTGGAATTTCGCACTTTTATTTGAGCGGTAAGCAAATCAGTCGCGCATGTGAACGAACTAACTAACTAACATTTCCATTATATATACATTTTACAGATATTCTTGAAGAATTATTGACGAATCATTATATAAAACACTTGTTTGGCTTTTGCTCTGAGGCGTCTTTTCAAAACTTCTCCGCATCGTCGTAGTTCCTGCTTCATTATAACTAAACGAGCAAACACGCCGATTCCACGAATCACTACCACATCAGATGACACCTACGAAGTAATTTGACAAATTAATATATTCACAATGGAAGTAAATTTCTGCATTAGTTAAATTCTAAATCGTACTAAAGCTAGTGAAAATATAATGGAGAAAGTTCTGAAAAATGTCGAAGACGCGAAGAGTAGTGTGTTCGAAATTATGAACTGCTTTTGTCCAGTGCACCTACGCTAAAATAGCGTACGTCTACAACCTTTACTTTTTTTATGTTGTAGATATCGCAGCCGTTTTTGGCGCCCGTTATTGATGCCCTTCATCGTAATTATTGGTAAGATAATGCCCTATGTCCTATATTTTTCCTCTTTTTCTCTTACAGTTTTAAGACAGTTTCAGTTTCTGACGTGAGATCGCACAAGGCTTGCCTTCTAAACTAGAGTTAGGATCGATCGATATACTTACCACGTCTTCATGACCACACTGTCCATTTAACGAAGAAACTTTGCAAATTTTAAACTTTATAACGATTATTATAATAATGTTTTATACGGAAAATAGAAACAAGTCTTTATTCATTTTTAATTTACGTTTTTATTTTACAAGATATATTTTATTTATATTTGTCATACAATCAAAAAAAAATAATAATAAAAACTCTACTTCTTTGTAATAAAATGCAAAGTAAGAATAAATAAATTTGTTTGGTAATTGTTTGTACGCAAGCAATGTAAGTATGTAGTTTGCACGCATGTACGCAATTTTATAACGGAAATATAAGCAATATAAGCACGGTTTTCCACCCTTTTGGTAGGCGCCATAAATAAATGGTTAAATTCTCTGTTGAAAGGCAAAGCACAGAGTCGCTTATAATAAATAAATGCCCAACAAAAACGCCAAGCAGCTAATGTTGAAGGCTCAACTCAACAGATCAAAGATAATCGTTTCTGTTAAGTAACAGATCTGGTAGATAACAGATAATCGATTCTGTTAAATGGAAAGACGTCGGGAAAACAAAGGAAAAATGTGTAAAACACATGTCGCCTTATAAATTTGATAGACAAGTGCGTGCTTTTGGCAGCTATATTACAGGGGCATAACGCGTTGGGGCCGATCCAAGGAACCGAATGGACCCAGTCCCGATGTCCTAGGACCGCTAGGAGCGCCAATAAACCGCCTCAAGTGTCATTTTTGCTAGAATGTTAGCTAGAAAACACAAAAAAATTTATAAACAAAAAAACCCCAACAAATTTTTCAGAAAAAATTTTAGAAACTTTTGAGAAAATATCAATTTTTATTTACAAAAAATGTTACAATTTACATTTGCAAAGAAATCTTCAAAAGAAGAGCAGTAGGGTGAGATCGTGCAGAAACTGGGAGTAACGGGACGGGAGACCTAAAATTAATTGGAAGTGACAGAAGCGAGCAAGCTCGAGCACTCCGTCAACTCCCCCAAAAAAGTTGACTTCTTCGACTTTAACGCAGCGAAGAAGTACTCTTGATATTAGGGGAAAAATGCGTTTCCTTATATCTATATTTTTACAATTCAACTAAGAATTATACAGCATCCACTAATCATACACAAGATATGTGTAAAAAGAACTTTTGTATAAAAGCTGTAATATAACTTCCTTTTAGAACACGTATGCAGAACAGAGACGAAATTATTATGCAAAACTTTTAAGAACTTTTGTAAAGAAGCTGTAATAGTTTTGCATATACAATATGTATGCAGAACAGAGACGGAATTATTATACTAAATAATAGTAGAATCTGATAATGTAAACACAAGATATTTGTAAACAAAGAGAAAGCCGATAGCCCTAGATGCTAGTGCTTTAAGACTTTAGTCTTAGAATTTATTCTCTGGCTAAATTTATAATAATAATAATAATAAACAAAGAGAACTTTTGAACAAAACTTTTAAGATCATATCAAGAAGGCTTTTGTACAAAACTTGTATAGCAATGGCACACTTGCTGGAATTATGATTAAAATCGAAGCGGAATACTATTTGCAAAAAAACGAGCAGCACCGCCAATGAAACAGGACAAAAACTAATTGATTTTGTGGAAATTTGGCTCTACCATAATGCATAATAACACATTTCCCCAACACTTGATATGGAATTGACTGCCAAACAACTGCCAGCTGAATCGATGAGAGGAGACGTAACGAGTGGGACGTGCAACAAATTCGTGAACAAAGATGTTTTGGAAGACATAAACGCAGGCATTAATTCCCGCAATCTACAAATGCCTGCTAACCATACTGAATACCATATATAAAAACGAACATTGCCATCGTTCAATTGATTGGCGCAATGCCTGACTGCCCTGAAATTTAATGAGTAGCTAAGAAAAATTTGTTGTAGATAATTGAATTTACATATATTTGTTTTGTTGTTTTAATTAGTGATTTCAAAAATAAACTGTTTTTTTTTTTTATTTATTTGTTCTCAATACCTTCCACGTTAATAGCCTTTCCTTACATATTTTTCTTTTTTCGGGTTTTTAACTATCTAGGAATTAATCAGCACAAAAATCTTCGTTTTATTTGTCTGCCTAATGCTTAAATGGCTACTGATTAAATGCTAGGTTTACAATTTATTTCTTCATATTTCTCATGAAATCTGCGCCTCAAATGAAGTGTTTTCATTTATAGTATTTACAATAATAAATAATAGTTAATTTAAAATATTAGGTTTGGTGTAAAAAAAAGGATAACTTACTTTATTTATATACGTTTTATGTATGATAAAGTGTAAGTGAATGAATGATTGATTTGATAATATGTGGCAGTCGATGATTTTTTACGAATACTCAATAAGCGATTAAAAACTTTACTTTTTCTTCTTTAATTCCTTTTCTTTTATTTTACATAATTATTTGCTTTTTGCTAAGTTTCTTGTAGTGTTTTTGTTTAAAGGGCAGGACATTTATTAAAAGTGAGCGGATATCAGGATGAGTGATTAGTGTTAGGTAAGTGTTGTTTACGGTTGCTTTTGTTGGTGTCGTCTCTGTGGATGTGGTGTGGTAATTAATTGGTGGTTGCATGGTGTAGTATGGTAGTAGGTAAGGTAGTGTGGGTAATATGTGGCTGTTTATTTTATGGCTTTTGTTCACATTTTCACATTTTCTATAAATGAATCTCTAGATCTATATCACCTCTTAATTGCCTTAAACAGTTCTAAATACTTAATTCGTTTATTTTATATGTTTATTTCATTTTATATCTTCTTCCCTTTGCTTCTTCTTCGTCTTTTTTTCTTGTTCTTCTTAATCTTTATTACAATCATTTTTAATAAATTGATATTAATGTTGTTGCTTTTTTTTTTTTTTTTTTTTTTTTGTTATCAGATTTATATCAATTATGATGTACGTGGTATTTCAACTTTTTATGATGAGTTACTCGATTAGTTTTGAATTAAAAGAATTGATTTATTTATTATTTATTTAATTGTTTTTATAATTTAGTTGATTGAACTTTTTTTGCTTTTAATTTATATCTCATTTTTTATGTAAATATTTAAATTCAATTAAATGCTGCTACAAATTATACAATCACTATAACTTGTTCTTATCATCGTGATCATCGTTATCATCTTAATTATATTACTTGCAATAAATAATCACACACTTTTTTAAGTTTTTTAAGCATGCAATTCCACTTAATCATAAATCTTCTTCTTCTTCTTCTTCTTCTTATGTACTTATAATGATTTTATTATTTGTTGTTTGTTGTTGTTTTTGTTGTTATTTTTGTTCTTGTTGTTGTTTTTTTCTATGAAACCAATGATGTGTTAGTAATCGTTATGCAAAATATTTATTTTTTATGTCTTTTCTTTCTTCTTCTTTTTCTTTTGGTTTTGTACATATACTTTTTTTAAAATTTAAACAATTTATTTATAAATACTTGTCTGTGTATGTGTGTGTGTGTGCGCGCGTGTATGGGCGTGTTTGTTTGGATGTATATGTGTGCGAGTATAACCCTATATATTTTTTTTTGGGTATTTAATCTAAATGATTACATACACAATTACATATAATTACAATTATATTTTTATGTTTCTAATCCAGACTATTTCCAATGATAACAATTCAAGAATTACCAAAAGAGTTTAAATAATAGGAGTAACAGCGAGCGAGAGTGTGAGAGAGAGAGGGAGAGAGAGAGAGCGGTTCCGGTAGTTTCACAATTATATTTATATAGATGAATAACAATCAAAGTTCATTTTAAGCATATTATGGAAGCGTTTCAAAATACTTTGCGATTCGTTCTCTGACTTATGCGTGCGTCTTATGCAGTGCCGCAAAGCGAGCATGTAGCTTTTAATTATTTAAATTAATTCTCTATAAATGGATTCTGTCGAGAACGGTTATCCTTTTTTCACACGTGGAAAGATATGCTCGAAGAACTCGTTGGGCTTTGTAAGCTTCTTTAAGATGTTTGGCATTTTTTCGGAATTGTCAATCTTCCAACTTCAAATTTTAAAAAAAGTCAAAAAAATCGGGCATCTTCCCGTTTTCTAGCAACATCGCCAGAGTTAATAGAGGAAATTAACGTAAAACGATTCACGGAATAATCTCTAGCGATTAGGTGAACTTTGAAGTCTTGCTACACGCGAACATTGCAAACACAAGTTTAATCGTTTAGTAGTGGATGGGGTTCAGACTCTTGTTCTCAAGCGAAACGTGAAGCGATTGAAAATACTTAAGTTTGCGAGTCGCAAACATGAATTATTGCAAGATGTCCGAACGTAGGGGAATTTTAATAAGTCTATTGGACTTTGGAGTCTGACTTTGGCTACAAGTGGCCATTCGTATGGAGGAAACCGTTAGAAAATTTCATTTCTTAGCATAAATAGCATTTGGTAGCGTTATGAGCTCCGTTCCTGGCATCGTAGCGAAAGACAACTTCAAAACCATCCCCTTCTTGTGTCTCATTCTAGCGTAGGGAGAGGTTTTAAATAGTGTTTGCAGCGGAAACTTTGCATAGTTTTCACCTTCGCGCATTTTCTGGAAGAAGCGAACTTTCTATTTTTTATATAACTCTGAGTGCTATTCACTTAACTTCGTTTAGTTTATGTACAGTTTCATTCTTTTAATTAGTTATTTATTTATTTTTTTGCTTTTTCTTTTTTTTGTTTTGGAACACACACAGTTTCTGTGTAGTAGTATAACAATTATGTAGTAGTTTAGAAACTTCAGGTGCAAAGGAAAAGTAACCATTCATAGAGTATTGTCCTGCTTTTATTTTTGTCCTTCTCTTTTTAGATCCCCAGAAAGTTTCTCTTTAACGTTGTTTACTTTTTTATTATTATTTTTTTGCATAAGCGAAGAACAACCAAGTTTTTTCTTTTGCATTGAGAGGAATAAGAACACATATACAAAAGAGCAAATAATTAAACAGACAAGTCGAAAATGTATTGCTTTTAGCCAAGAAAAGGATTTCAACAGGATTTGCACTAACATATCATCTATGTCTACCGGCATTGCGTTGATTTTTAATGGGAAAATTCAACAAGTGTAATATAACCCCTGAGAGAGAAAAACAGTCAATAAATGTAAACCCAATAAAACTGGGGAACTTGCAATACCAACCAATCAATAGATAGGTGAAATACGCTTTCTTGGCCGTAATTTTTGACGCGCGTGAATGTGCGTGAATGCGCGTGCGCGGCATAATGATAAGCCATACGTCTGTGGTACTTTGTAGCAAGTTATAGAAGCAAAAGTCGAATCTCGTTCGAGTTAACTGATAAACGGAGAAAAGAAGAAGAAATGTAAAGAAAAATATCAAAGAGCTACATTTTGGAGCGAATCCTGGATACCCACAAACCAAGTTTGTGCAATAAATTCAATTTAAATCGTACACAACAAATCGTGGAATATGAACGGCATTGAGTGTATATAAAATATTGATAAAGTTTCACGACCTGTGGCAGATTTTGTACGTGAAACAAGTGTCATTAAATCGCTAGGCCACCCGAACGTGTTTTGGATTGTGGCGAGTCCTTTCATAGGGCCGTGTTGCTCTGATGGGCTTACTTGAAATTGACGCACAAGTACAGCTATTTTATGTCTGCGACCCCGTATGCCCATACAATATAACCTTGAACCCATGATATGCCCAAGTGTTAAGAGTAAGCGGAAGACTCCGGACAGTAGAAGATTGAGATGTGATTTTTAGACAACACCACAACGTGCCATACATGCCGGCGAAATAATCAAATTGAATTTGTAATGGCTGAGATGTGCATTTCATGATTTGCTAAAGCGGCACGACAGACGGTGGAACCTCTGAGTAGAGTCGCATCTATAATTTGTTCACTTGTTCAAGTTTAATAATAAATGCATGTAGATCTTTGCAGCGTCGCTTGATGGATTTTGTTTTTTCTATACTTAGCTTTAAGCTATCGACAGAATTCTTTTTTAACAACATAAAACGAACTTATTACTACTAACATGAGTTAAAAGTTAAAAGCTTACGGTGTATTTAATGTTTAAGTGTAGTTTTCTAACTAATTTATATTAGAAAACTATCAAGCACTAAAAATGATTAGTATATTACAAGAAGCACACCCAATTAAATATGCGTAAAAAAAAAAATAAAAACCGCCATTTTGCAAGACAATAATAATTCACAAAATTGAAATTGCTTCTATTTACATCAAACTATTCTTATGTACAATAGTTACTTTACTTTTTTACTTATGCGGTTGTTGCGTTATCCGTCCATATTTAAGGTTTATTTAATAGTTAAAAAAAATATATGTATATATAAAAAGCTTCATTACAAAAAATGAAAATGTTTTAACAAACCTTAAAAATCAAGCTTTTTTTTAAAATATATTTAAAATAATTTTCTTTAAACGTTAAGCGTTCACGTTCACTTCGTAATGCGACTCTAAACATTTATTTACATTTGCTTTGTTTCATATTCTTTATCCAATTTTTTTTTCTTTAATTTAATTTTTAATTTAGTCATTCGCTTATTTATATTAGATCTTCGAAAAACACTTTGCTTTGTTTTCTTTTTTCTCTTTGTTTATATCGAGGTGCGCTTTGAAATTAAAGCAAAATTGCCAATGAAAATATTTTTGCGAGAATTCTCTTTCAATTTGTGTTTCTAGCATTTGTTCCAATTTTTTCGCAATTATCGTGTCCTCTCTCTTTGCTAGGTTCTTAGAACTAAGACTTTTCATGAACTGTATGTAAGTTTTTCCTTTTTTTTCTTTTACGTGTTCGTTAAAGGTGAACGAGTTGCGATCGCGATTATACTCTAATTGAAGTAATTTAGCAAGTTTTTCCAATCATCTGCACCGTGCGGACAATTGACTCGAAAATGTTAATAGAACACTAATGCTCAATAAATGCAACCAACTAATAATCGTTATGCCAGACGAGGCTGACCTAGTTTCACCGCATTTGCCTTAAGCGCAGAAAAGAAAGGGTGGCATTGGTTAAAACCGGTATTTGTGGAGATCACATTCACTTACCATATATTGATAGATTAGCCATTAAATGATGTTCAGGAGGTTTTTGTGTACCTCTGTAACATGCATCGCCTATTACTAATATGGCCGCTGTGCCTTCTGTAGGACGATAGCTAATGCAGACACCATGTTTCGTGCCTTTGTGTCTCGCTATTATGAAGACCGTCGCATTTTCCACCCAAGATCCATGGCATGAATATTCTATTAGAAGGATTTATATAATATTCAACTCAAAGCTTGTACAGTTTTTATTATTCACCTTCGTCTCCCTCGTCATTGCACTTGGGGCGCACGTCAATCACATTTGGTTCGGTGCAGCCCAACCAGAATTGGCGTTGGGCTTTATAATTTGTTATACATTCCGGTACATCGCGTCTGCTGCGCATGCGTAACTCATTTTCTTCATCATTTTTTTGGAAAACATCTAACCTGCCAGCAGATCGGTTTGTATCTACAACTAATATTTTTTGTTTTCCATCATTTGGGTCGAATTCGCGTGTTTGATTATTGAAGGGCTTCGTGGTAGTGAAAGCATCACGTCTAGAACGTATAGGTAGACCACGTGTATTTGAGTGCCATGTACTTTTATCGTTGGAATTTGTATTCCGAAAACTCAGAGTGCTATGCCTAAATAAATTAGATTTTGAGAAATGCTTTCCGTGAAAGTCGTTATCAATTCACCTTTTATGTAAATAGGTTCGACCGCTGCTCTCAATGCTATCTAATTGGTGATGATGCGTACGCGTACCGTGAATTTTGTTATTGTGATTACGTTTGTGACGCGTGGTTAAATACGGCGGACCGATAGCTCCACGTAGATTATACAAGCCTTCCATGGGGCAAATTTGCGGATCCGGATTACTGGCTGTAAAATAAAACAAAAGAAGGCAAATAAAAAACTGATATGAGACGAGTACTTTATTTTTGGTCTTGCCGAGTAGGGTGGTGTAAGGTGTCTTGGAAATATCAAAATGATCAGGGGCACAGGCATCTTCTAAACGAACGGCCGGCTTGCCAGTTTGTATCTCGATAACATGGATATCACGGCGATAAAACATCATACACATGAAACCCGACTGACTGCGATGTGACGTGAATAGTACAATAGAAACAAAGTGAAATGAAAAGCAAATAAACAAACTTAAAGAAAGACATACCATCCGGTAGTGTAGTGCACTACGGACATCATTTCGGTGGAAGTTTGTTTATTAATTTGTTCACACAGCGCACGCGTTTCCATATAGCCATTAGGTTTAATGATATGAATAGAACCGTCACTAAAACAGAATAATTTTTAAATGTGTTTCCGTTGTCTTGCAATTGTGTCCATAGAGCTCACTTGCTATGATAATTGTAAACAGCATTTCCCATTAGTACGTGCCAATGGCGGGGGCCTTTAAACCACATCGGAAAATCGCATCTTTCTGTCACTGGAGGCTTTCGTAACGACATAATGCGAGAACCCACCTGAAATTTGTTGCCCTTGTATAGAAGAACTATTTTCTTTTTCATTGTAAAAGTCTTTTGTTTACCTCTGCGCTATCTAAGCCATTGCAGGTAGCGTCCCCCGATTGTGCCAATTTGTATTCGGCATCCTTGGAACTCAACATGCTAGGACCTCCAGTGAAATGTCCTAAATCTGGATTAGATATCAATAATACTTAGATGCCTGATTAAATTGAAAGAGGCACGCCTTCGCTTACCCATTAATGAGGAAATTTTTTCATAAACAAAACAACGATAGCGCTCCTCATTCGATATAGCATGATGATGTGATACCAAGCCAACAAGATAACGTGAATTACCATCTTTCCATGTTGCCAGACATGTCAACTCCTCAACTATAAGTATTTCGAAATAATTTCACTGAAAAAGCAGTTACTGTAAAATCTGACAAATCAGCTATTGGCTGGCTGAACTTTGAAAGATTGCATTCTTACAACTGTACATGTATAATAAAAAAATGGCGACAACATAGTCGTATAGTGGAAACTTATGGATGCCGGTTATAACCAGGAACCGTTCGTTCATTTCTTCGTTTGACGAGTTTCCAGCATATTAACGCCGGGATTTCAGGGAATAACTTACCAGTGCTTTCTGTCCCCACTACGTCAGGACAGGCTTGAAAACTTAACAGCAATCGGCTATCTTCTGTGCAACTTTCGATATTTGAAACGGGGCTCTTGCATTCACCATTCCCACGATTGTAAGTGAAAATGAAGGGACCTGGAATGTGACGATAATTTATTTATTTATTTATTTATTTTTTTCTCCTGCTAAACCGATAAGAAGATTAACTAAGTAACTAACCTTTTAGGGGACATTTGACAGGTTCGGCACTTTCCCTAAACAGCGAATACAATAAAGCATCGCCTGGTATTTGATCGCAGAGATTCTGTAATGTTTCACGGCCCTTACAAAAATCTGGGGGACATAAAGTTTTTAAAGCACAAAAACAAACACAGAGAGAAGATGGAAAATGATGAGAACTATTAATGCAACATTTTCGCACTCGATTTCAAGTCAAAGATTAATATGAAAAATAATTATGCGGCAAGCATACATACATACATACATACATATATAGATGAAATTATAAATAAAATTAAAACGATAAAGATCTTAATTGCTTTACAAAACAATAATATATTCATGAATATTAAAAATAAAAATTAAGATTAAAAATATATATTTATATGTACTTTTAAAGAATTAATAATTCGAGTAACATTTGTGAACATTTGTTTCCCTCCTCATTAAAGATTAGATAGCAAGCAATTGCTTTATCATTGGGGGACATGTTGTTTTAGTAAATTCGACTCTCTCTCTCTAATAATTCTTTAACGTGCATATAAATATTTTTATATACATACGTATATATATTTTAGTGAAATATACAAACAAACATACTTTCAATATGATAAGTAAACATATGCCTTTAAAAATCAATAAATGATATAAAATTTGTTTTTTTATTTTTTATTTTT